GCAAGTTTACTTTTTGTTGCCCCCGTCCCAACTTTTTTGGAACGTGTTGCTGGCATCAAATTTAAAATGGGCATATATTTTTCAAAAAAAACAATAAAGCTTCTCAGTTTCAACATTGGATATGTTGTCTTTGAAGCATTTTCAATGAAATATATGGGTTAAATGATCTCCACATCATTGCATTTTAGGTGGATGTATGATAGGTGGGTGAATGCAAACATACACAAAATATGCATCATAGATTTACCGTATGTCTGATATTTGTCTGATACAAACACCAAAAGGTTTTTTATAGCAAAAAGTTAAAATGAAATACAAAAAAGTATATAACATTAAGCTAGCATATATAAATAACATATTCCATCCTTATGCGAATAATGTTTTCTATCTGTTTTTTTTAGAAGTGTTGCACATATGTTTGTATACGTTGAAATATATTTGAAAACAACCAATTTCAAATAAGTTGGTAAATAAGTCATATATATGTGCATATAGTTGGACATCAGATAGGTTCATATATGCTAAGCATATATGTCTATATTAATAATCCTTTTATTGCCATATGTCAGCTTTCCATATGGGTAGTTGATCCTCATCATAGATGTAAAGTCAGAGACGATAACTCATCTATTGCTGTACTGTTTGTGTTGGTCATCCTCTAGCCCTTCATCAGTGGTCACAGGACGGTGCTCACAGAACACTGGCTGGATATTTTTGGTTGGTGGACTATTCTTAGTCCAGCAGTGACAGAGATGTTTAAGAACCCCAGCAGCACTGCTGTGTCTGATCCACTCGTACCAGCACATCGGTGCCACTGCAGTGCTGATAATGACCCACCACCTAAATGATACCTGCTCTGTGATGGTCCTGTGGGGGTCCTGACCAGTGAAGAACAGGGTGAAAGAGGTCTAACAAAGTATGCAGAGAAATATTACTCTACAGTCTGTAATTGTAGAACCACAAAGTGCACCTCTATAGCAAATGGAACTGATAAAATGGACAATGAGTGTAGATGCAAAGAGGTGCTCCTAATGAAGTGGCCAATCAGTTTATATGTGCATGTATATTTCACAACAGACTGGAGTAACATACATTATTAATGAAGTATTCATGAGCGTTTGACAAGTGAAATCAAACATTTACAATACACTGGTTCACATTCACCTAGCAAGACATTGATTACTATTAATGAGAGAATGGATAGGTTTATTTTGGCTTAGTGCCCAGAAGAAAGTGTTTCACAATACTAAATAAGCTGCATGAAATAGCTTTAATAGTGGAAAGAAAAAAAGAATTTTTCTTTCCTCTGTTACCAAAATGACAATTATAGACACACAAATAGGAAATAGTTGCTGCTACGCTGATAACAGGGCTTTTTCAGTGGCCTTTTATGGTGAAAGAAAAACAGAATTTACAAACTGTCTTAGGGGCAGTGATAAAGGGTCAAGTGAGGAGTGTGCATGTTTGATAACCCACACATTGTGCAACACACACAAATCTCACAGTCTATTTATAACCTTTGTTTACCATGATGTGAAAGGATCTCTGCAAGAATCCTCATGCTTGTAGGCAGATAGTTCAGTAGCCCAAGTCAAATGGCATGCATCTTTAAGAAATACTCCAGCTTATTTTAACCTAACCTTTATCTGCTGAAGCTGTATCATACAGCCAATTTCCATGGGCAGTACTTAAAGCACATTTGTCTGTATATAGAAAAGAACTGAAAAATTGTTCATTCTTAACATACAAATCCAAAAAGTTGGGACAGTATGTGAAATGCTAATAAAAACAGAAAGCAAAGATTAGTATTCTATAGAATTCTGTTTTGTCTGTATTAAATTGAACTTTATTTTGTTTCTTTTGTAAATATATGCACCAACTTTGAGGCCTGTAACATGTTGCAAACCATTTTGGGACAGAAGCATGTGTACCACTGTGTTACCTCACCTTTCCTTTTAACAACACTTATGGAGACTGAAGACGCCAATTGATTTTTCTGAAAGTGGATTTTTTTTTGCCATTCTTCTATGTAGAACTCATGGTGCTAAATAGAACCATTGCCTTTACTGAAGAAACCTTGAAGAACCATTTTTTTTAAGCATGTAGTCTTAAATTGCCCCTATGCCAACTTTTTTGGAATGTGTTGTAGGCATAAATTTCAGAATGAGCCTTTATTTGCAAAGTTTAAAGTTGATCAGGGAAATGCATCAAAAGTTTTATCTATTGAAATACTTATTTTTTTAATTGATTATATGATAAACTACCATATTTTTTAGACGCAGGCTTAGGATGTGCTCAGGCTATGTGACATTAAAATGCTCTCTGAGAGGAAGTCATGGATGCACAATGGCTGATGGAAGTAACAGACGTCAAATACAACCTCATAGTGTGATCCAATTTACTCTGCAAGATCTGAGGCCTTTGAGAACAGTCCAACACTTGACCTCTAGACCATGATTAAAGGACAAAGGTCGGAGGTTACTCTGCCTTTGATTTATATTCAGGGCTCTGGAAAAGTAAAAACCTAAATGTACCAGCCATCACATAAAAAAGCAGAAATTACAGAACTTTTCTTAACACTTATGCATTACTGAATGGTAGTAAGCAAGTACAGTGACCGCCAAGTTTCAGTTCAAGTCCACTGACTGCAAATATAATTATATCAAGAGAAAAGGGAACTTTTGCTGTTATGTCCAACCACACAACAGATAACATGACCGTCTGTGGGCGAACATGCAGAAGTAGCCTACAGTGACCGATAAACAGTGTTTCGTTATGGTTTGTACAGCCAACAAATAAACAGTTCTGAGAGTGTAGAAACCTATAAACCAAAATTGTGAACACAAAATAAAAGCACACATAGTAACACAGAATAATAAAATTGTGCTTAGTACAAATGTACCTCTTAGTAAGTTCATTAGTTCATTTTACAGAACGAAAAATCATGATCAATGGATTCTACTATTGATGGCGTAGAGGTCAGCTGTACAATGAGCTGGAATTGCCCCAGTATATAAAAAGCTTTGGGCTCAAATTCCAGCTGCTTGTTCCTGTTCATATTGACTGCTGGCCAAGAGCCAAGCTGTGACACAAGAAACTTGCCTAGGATCTACAACAGATTGTCACAGAAGAATGACAGCTGACAATTCCCACACAGATGTTAAATACATTATTATACTGTAATGGCATATTTATTATGTGGTAGTGACTAATGACTAATGAACAGCCTAAAACCACTTAAAATAAAAAGTGGACCTTAAGCTGGGCTCAGTTTGAGAGTCATGGACAGAAAAGGACAGTGTAAACAGGACAGGGCGTCCTGCTCTTCTCGAAGTGTTTTGTATTACATTTGAATTGCTGAGAGACAGCTGAGCCCACACCCAAACAAGCCGGTGGGACAATAGGTCTCTCACTTCCAGGGATAAATTTAGCAAAATATGCTTTACAAAACACTAAGTGAAACAAATAATTCTGTATAGTCTGCAAATGTATTGTTTCACATACAGTTTATTTCTCACAAAATAAATACAATTTTTCTAGAAGCTTTTTTTTTAGCGTGAAGTTAACTGTGGGGGCTTCAGTGAACAATGGAACAATATGCTATGGTCTTTTGCACTGATCATATCGATGAAAAAATTCCAAATTAGCAGAGTTAGGTTACAGTCTACTGTGGAGGTGCTGACCTACATAAGTAAGGCTACGGGCATGGTTATTCTCTCAGATTTATCTTTTCATTAGAAGAGGAACAGGCTAAATTTCACTTGCAGGAGGAAAGGGGACAATAAGATACATTAGCAAATGGCAAGGATTATCAATGACCTTGAAAGCCTTATGGAACAAAATCTTTGGGTGTTTATTCAATACAACCTCCTCTGCCATCGCAAATATATTTGATGCAATATAATTCTAAACAATATTGCATTGTTTATAATTCTGTAGTTGGAATTTAAAAAATACAATTTTACACATACATTTAATATGTTTAAAAATATAATTTTAAACATATTAAAATGACTATTATGTACAAATTATTCATTCTCAGGTGATGTTTTTGAGGAGATTAGATATAATTTACTTAGTAAAAAAGAAACATGAATTTTACCCAAAATTATAAAAAACTGTGAAAATGGGACTAATAACAACCATGCAAGACCTGGTAGACCACAAAAACTTGAAAAAAAACAAGTGTATCTGTCCATTCTTGTACTGTGAGAAAACAACTTAGCACTATGGATCTGAAAGGATGTGCAGCTGTCAAAAGGCCATTACAGAGAAAGAAAAAGACAAACAAAGAAGATATAAACAAAAAGCTGCTGGTGTTCTCAGAACAATGGACAATGGACAACAATGGACTGACCACTCCAGAGTCCAGACCTCGATATCACTGAATGTGTGTGGGATTACATTAGAAGCACAAAATGCAACCAACTTCGAAGACTAAACTTTGGAGGTGTGGAAAAATATTCCTATAGATTTTTTTGAAAAACTGAAAGCAAGTCTCCTGAAAAGAAATTAAGCTGTAATAAAGGCAAAGAGTGGACACACTGAGCACTGAACAATTTGATATTATATTAAAATGTTTAGACTTTTTTGTGCTTAATTTGTACTTCATTGAATTTTGACTGGATATTAAATAAATAAGGATCGTCTCTGACTTTTACACAGTACACACAACACACACATTATACACAATTATACACAAATTATACAGTTATAGATATATAAAAAATCACAATATGGTGGCTGAATATTGAACATCAGGGGAAACATTTCAGTCTCTGTGTTGGTGCAGTGGCTATCCACATACACGGTTTCTCCAAAATACGACAGATTAACAGAAACAGACTGAAGTAAATCCTGGCCTATTAACGCCTATTATCGTTCAATTACAGTGGAAGACAACCGTGAACGCGCGGCGCGCTCCCGCACCAGAGGAATGGAAAAGTTACTGTGGAGAGAGAAAGAGAGAGAGAATGTGCTCCAGTGAGGGAGAGTGAGAGAGTGAGCGAGATGGGGAGGGAAGGAGTGTGAGAGGGAGAGAGAGAGAGAGAGAGCGAGAGCCGGATCTATCCGTCGCCATTACCGACTGGAATGAGAGGGGAGGGAGTCAGGCTCGGATTACACGCAAACCACAAATACTGTTAAAACAGGTTAAAACTATTCTTGTCGAAAATCTCTCGGATTCTTCCCGACGCCGGAGCCTAAGGAGTGTTTGGAATTGTGTTCCTTGTCCGACCAGGTGGGATTAAAGAGGGGATATTGGGAATGCCTCCTCCTCTCTGTGGTGTCGGGAGCAGGGAGCGACCATGTTAGGTAGGGGAATGCGTTTGGAGAAGAGTGTCGTGACTTTCCCCGCTGTTTTCTGCGCTCTGCTCGGTTTGGTTTGTGTTGCTTTGTTTGGGAGGAGGACTGAGGCGATGGCGTTGTGTGTCTCTGTCTAACACAAATGTCTTTTTCACAGCTTCGCTGCGAGACTCGGCGCAGTCTAACACTAACGCTTAGCCAGGCTAGCTGGACTGCTATCACACACAGAGGAAGCGTTGTCCAGGCAAGGCCTGTGTCGAGGATGTGGCTCTTCATTCTGACCAGCGCAAATGAAGCGCCTCAAATTGTGCTTTATTTAATCTTCTGTCGACCAAAACAACAAACGGACGCGTTAACGGCGCCACTGTAGTACGAAAATAAAGCCCTGGAGTACCTATATCTGCCCTCTGCGGCTGTGTTAACCTAGCTAAGCCCACCTATTTAGTCGAAGGGGTGGTGTTTCACCAAGTTATCTTCTTTTCTCGGACTGACTGAGACTGTCCAGGTCGTTAAATTTGAGGGTAACTCACTAGACCTACAGTTGAAGAAACCCGTTTTGTCCTGTAATGCGCCTTCTTGTACAGGCGAGGCTGTTGTGCTAGTTCTCCGGATAAAAAGTCACAGCGGCTGCTCGTCGAAGTAAGTTGGCTAGCAGGCGTGGAGCTGTTTGCCAGCGCTGTAACAATAGCTGTGCTCTATTCACCACCAGCTCACAGACTTCTCCCAGTTTCGACCACCTCGTACATACCCCCTTTAATACCCCGTAAAAGACTCTAACCCCGCTAACAACCATTACATTTACACTGGGTAACACTTTATTTGGAGGCTGCCTACATAGAGGCTTCATGACACGCACATCAAGATATGTTATAGAAAGCGATGCTCGAGTATTAATGAATATCTTATGTTGGTGTTTGCAAGACATCAAATATTTTGAGATAAATGACATTATATTCACATAAGGGCCCTTAGACCAAAGTGATGGACGCTTATTTGTTCAATTTGTAAGGCTGTTAGAGAAAACTTGTCATATTGTTTATTAGTTCCATGAAAAATGCCCTCAAACTAAAGTGATATAGGAAAATTTGTATGAAAGTGATCAGTTTCAGGGCACAGTACTGATACATGGTGTTCTTAACTAGGTCTCTGCCTTGTATGTTCAGTTACATGTGAATGATGCTTCATAACAGTGTTATAAAATGTCTGCTGCTTCAGTTCAGGGCCCTCAGGTCAATATACCGTCATTTACATCATAAAAGAGCTCATGTCATCTTGCAAATACTGATATAAGCTGTTCGTAAACCCTCTTATCATAAATACTCATTCCTTTGTTATATATGTCATTCAGGGGTTATGCGTGTGTTGTGAAGTCCCTGTGTTAGTGACACACCTAAAATGCGAGTTACGTTGAACTCATTTGGCCGAGAGGAGTTTGATCACTTGCATTTCTGTACAAAGGCAGTGGTTAACTGCACCTATGTGTCGGCATGGAAAAATGTAATTTGCCAGAGTTTCAGTCTGAGTTTCTACCTGATTTTTATGACTAGTAAACTCGATGTTGCAACATGCTCCTCCATAAATGACTAACTAGTTGTCTTGGTCTTAATGACACTAACCGAAGTAGTCCTGTGAATTGAGGTAGTCGCTGAGGGAAAGTCTTCGATTCTCTTTTAATGGTTTAATGACTGTTATCTAATAGGTGTGTTACCCACTCCTGTGATATTGCTCCCATTAATCCACAGCAGTGTTCTTCACTGGAGGTCACAGTGTTGCACGATTTAATGTTCTCTCTCTGCCTAACACACCCTGAAACATTAAACTGTGGTTTGGCCATCCAAGACTGAGACAGAAAAGTCCAAAGCAGTATGTTTTGACTGAAAATCCAGACATGGTTTTAATCCGAGGAATCCTAGGGATCCACAGCATGTCATGCATCGGTCATTAGAAGACCATTTGATTCCTAGACAGACTGTGTCTGAGTTTGTATATATAGACACTCCACAGACACATTAGTTCAGAAAAACTACTCTGTAGACATACCTAATAGGGTGCAGTACATTTAGTCAGTTGCAATCTGTAATCCACATATTTCTGACACCACCACTGTACAAAGAAGATAGTGGCCTGTCTTGCAGTGTGCATGATTGTGTCATGTTTCCAGTGGCCTCTTGCATGAATGACCTGTTCTGACCACAGGGTGGGTGCTGTCTGAATATTTAGTGTATTTATATACGCCTCCGAGTTTGATCTGTTTCATGCATACTGAGAGGCGTTAGTTAGAGAGACAGGAAATGAAAACGATAACTCTATCAAATAAATAAACCTATATTCACCTCCTGTATTGCTCACACACTCAACCCTTAGGCTCAAGCCTACCCACTTAGATAGCATTGTCTTTGGGGCAATGGCTATTATTTTAAGGAAAAGGGAGGCATACTTAATAAAGGGCTAAGAGTTTTACTAATAAACAATATTCCCAAACGTGTTTGTAAATGTTTAGAATCAGCGGTCATATAACATCTACCCTTTGGTCAAAACCATATTGCTTGGTAAGTAGGAATGAACAATATGATGATATTTGTCGTTACAATGATAAATTACATCACATTACATGTGTTTCATTGCAAAAACAGCATAATTATTAGGGATACACAACGATATAGAAGTCATATCGGTAAAGGCAGATATTTGCTTACAAAAATCAGCATCGGCATCATGCTGTTTTAACACAAGCAGTATGGGCTTGGCATTGTCATTCACAGATGTTTAAGTTACTCACTAATACACTTCTTAGCATTATGGACCAGTTTTTGAATATTACACTGGTACCAATTTGGATGGTCCTTCTCTTCTTAGCCCTGGAAAACACAATGTTTATTATTTTCTTAAATAAACTTAGTTTGTGTTTTAGTCAGTAAACGATATGAAAGGCAGACTCTTCAAACCCAAGGAAATCTGCAGCATTTCTGGACATTGTTGACGTATGACTTCCACTGCCCATAGTACAGTGTTAACTTGAATTTGTGGATGCAGTGACAGACAGTTTTTATTAACAACAGTTTGTCGAAGTGTTCCTGAACCCAGGTGGTGATATCCATCACAGAAGCATTAGGATTTGTAAAGCAGTGTTGTGTGGGAGTTTGAGGGTTTTTGTGGTTTTTGGCCATGCTCTTTACACACAGAAAGTATTATATTTTCCCTGAATCTGTTGATGATATGCAACGTAGTGACGGGTGAAATTCCAAAAATCCTTGCAATTGCTTGCCATGGAATGCTATTTTTAAACTATTGGACTTTTTTGCTGATGCATTTTTGACAAAGTGGCAAGCTTCAACACATCCTTGCCTATAAAGGAGTAGGCCAGTCCTGGAGGCTCATTTTGTACTCAAGCATGATTGCCTCATCTGTTTTGGATGCTTTTTGAACATTTCACAATGTTCCTAGTCTTAAATTCCTCCTGTCCCAGCTTTTTGGACTGTGTTGCAGGCATCAGTTTCAGAAGGAGTGTATCTTTACGAGAAACAATTAAGTTGAAAAGATAAAACATTACATATCTCATCTTTGCACTGTTTTATTTCCTATGCAGCTCATAGTAGATTTATAAATAAGTGCTCTCTGTTTTTATCTGCAATTCACATATTGTCCCAACTTTTTTGGATTGGGGTGTCAGCATCCGCCCACAAATCTTATACTGGCATCCCTAATTATTAGGCCTGTTCACTTGGGTTTAGTGCGGTATGTGAAAGGTTGAATAAAAAAAGAATTATGTTTTTATAATTTGGATAGTATTTTTTTAAATGTGTCACTGTTGATTCTTTTTAGTCTGTTCCAACTTGTCAAACCTCAGAAAAACTAAATATTGTGATGCATATTGTGTATTGTATGAAGGTTCTGAAGTTTTATGATAATATTCAAAAGGTCAAACAGAGAGGGCTACTGGTAGGGAAATCAACATACAAATATTAAAGGTGCTCTGTGGAATGGGGTTCAAAAGCTTGAGAAAAAGTGCATACCCATGGCACTCTTAATTGAGTTAAAAAATCTTTATTGTAACATTGCTATGAACAAAAAAAAATTCATTTAATCAGTAGTCCATAAGAAACAAATAACATATGTGTAGTAAGATAAAAAAAAATAAAAAACATACACAGATAATGTAAGAGGACAGCCAGCTTAATGTGAAAGCTTTTAATTCAGTGAAGAGTGCCATGGATATTCACTTTTTCTCAAGCTATTGTGATATATTTTTGCCATATTGCCCACCCCTATTAGTAAGGGTCCAGTAAAGCAAAGTCTGTTTATGTAGAATACAAGACTCTGGTTCAGTTGTGGAATACTATTTTAAATGACTGTAAAAAGAATAGCAGCCAATGAGGTGCCTAATTAGGTGTGTGTAATAAACTGCGAAGAATGTGTGAAAACATGTTAATCATGATTTCACAAAACTTGTGTTATGATGACATTGCTTTGATGTATTGATAATATTGCTTTATAGCTTACTGTTATCATTTGACTACTGTATCTCCTGTAAATAGAGAATAGCAGGTTTCTTTTTATTACAGTATAAATACAGTATAACTAGATTTACAATTAAACTAGGATGACCATCTCAGCTCTCATGTTTCTAGTAATACAAGTATCTCTGAATTGTTCTTTCCATCATTAATTTATATTTTTAATATATTGCAGGTAGGTGATACCCAAGGGCAAGTGCAGCTGCCCCGTGGTGGATGGTCCTGAGGAAAAGGAAAATCGACCGAGTGAGTTCCGAGTGAGACATGGAAATGCATCACCAGTAGCAAATGGAACTTCATCCTTGCCTTGCTGGCAGACTTTGCTTGGAGTGACAACGCAATGAGAGGGGCGGTATAATGGCCAAGAATAAGGAGCCCCGTCCGCCGACATATGCTATCAGCGTTGTTGGGCTCTCAGGCACTGAGAAAGAAAAGGGCAACTGTGGTGTAGGCAAGTCCTGCCTGTGCAACAGATATGTGCGCCCCAGCGCGGATAGCTACTACTCGGAGCACACTTCTGTGTTGAGCACAATTGACTTTGGAGGGCGTGTGGTGAATAATGATCACTTTCTGTACTGGGGAGAAGTGCTACACAGAGGGGACGATGGCCTTGAGTGTAGAATTCAAGTCATTGAACAGACTGAATTTATTGATGATCAGACCTTTTTGCCTCATCGGAGCACAAATTTGCAACCGTACACTAAACGGGCTGCAACTACAAAGCTGCAGTCCGCTGAGAAACTGATGTATATTTGCACAGATCAGCTTGGCTTGGAGCAGGATTTTGATCAGAAACAGATGCCAGATGGGAAACTGAATATTGACGGCTTTGTCTTGTGCATAGATGTAAGCAAAGGATGCAATAGAAAATTTGATGACCAGATGAAATTTATCAGTAGCCTTTACTCACAAATTACCAAGTCAAAAAAACCCATTATCATTGCTGCAACAAAATGTGATGAGTGCGTAGAGCAATATTTAAGAGATGTCCAAACTTTTGCTGCGAGCAAAAAGAATCTGCTGGTGGTTGAAACTTCAGCTCGATCGTCTGTCAATGTGGAGCTCTGTTTTAATGCTCTGACCCAGCAAATGGACAAAACACGAGGCAAACCCAAAATTATCCCTTATTTGGAGGCTTACAAAACCCAGAGACAATTAGTAGCCACGGTCTCGGACAGGTTTGACAAACTCATTGTGCAAAGCGTTAAAGATTATCACACAAGCTGGAAAATTGTGAGCAATACTTTGAAAAACCACCCAGACTATGAGGAGTACATCAACTTGGAAGGCACCAAAAAGGCTAGGAGCACCTTCTCTAAGCACATTGAACAGTTGAGGCAAGAGCATATCAGGAAGAGGAGGGAAGATTACTTCTCCAGTCTGCCAAAAATTTTGAACAAGTTGCTTAACAACTTAGAAGAGATTGAGAACCTGAGCTGGGCAGATGCTCAGAACCTCATGAAGAGCAGGGCTGAGTTTCAGTACTACTTTGTTGTGCTAGAGCAAACCCCTTGGGATGAGACAGATCACATTAACAAAACGGATGACAGAAGAGTGCCCTTTGACATCCTTAAAACTTCAGAAGGCGAGAGAATTTATCAAAACCACGTCCAGCACTTGATATCAGAGAAAAGGCGACTGGAAATGAAGGAAAAATTCAAGAAGACACTGGAAAGAGTGCATTTCATAAGTCCTGGCCAACCCTGGGAGGAAGTTATGTGTTTTGTCATGGAAGACGAGGCATACAAATATATCACCGAAGCTGATCGCAGAGATGTTTACGGGCGGCATCAGCAGGAAATTGTTGAAAGGGCCAAAGAGGAATTTCAGGAAATGCTGTTTGAGCATGCGGAGCTGTTTTATGACCTGGATTTGAATGCCACCCCAAGCTGTGACAAAATGAGTGAAATCCACGCTGTACTTAATGAGGAACCCAGATATAGAGCTCTTCAGAAACTCGCCCCAGATAGGGAGTCCCTTTTACTAAAACACATTGGGTTTGTTTATCATCCCACCAAGGAGACATGCCTGAGTGGGGCGAGCTGTGTGGATCTGAAAGTTGAGCAGGTCCTTGCAAACAGGCTTGTTCAGCTGGACCATGGTCGCACCAGTCTGTACTACAACAGTGCCAATCTTGATAAAGTTAACTTGTGTCTTATTGGCAGAGAAGGACTAGCTCAAGAACTTGCAAATGAAATAAGAGCTCAGTCCACTGATGACGAGTACACCCTGGATGGGAAGATCTATGAGTTAGATCTCTTGTCTGTTGATGTAAATTCTCCCATGCTTTTGAACCATTCTTGGGTATCGACTTTCAAACCTCATGGGTTCTTCTGTGTCTTTAGTTCAATAGAGTCACTCAATTACATTGGTGACCGCATAAGCCGAATCCGAGCTGAGATCGCCCAGAGCAGAAGAGACAGGTTTACCCAGCCATTGCCATTTATCCTTATCTTAGCCAGTCAGCGAGACAGCGTTTGCAAAAACATGCCTATTTTAAGGCATCAGGGCCAACAGCTTGCCAATAAGCTACAGTGCACATTCATAGACATACCCTCTGGGACCTTTCCACGAAAGTTTAATGAGTCTCAAATAAAACAGGCACTCAGAGCAGTCCTAGAGGGCCTAAAGCACAATTTTGATGTGATGAGCCCAATGCCCTCCATCAAAGATCTCTCCGAAACAGATTTGCGGATAGTTATGTGTGCCATGTGTGGGGATCCGTTCAGTGTTGATCTTATTCTTTCACCTTTTCTGGACTCGCATTCCTGCAGTGCTGGTCAGCCTGGCCAGAGCAACACCCTGATCCTCGACAAAATCATTGGCGACAGTCGCAGACGCATACAAGTCACCGTCCTCTCATACCACTCTTCAATTGGAATCAGAAAGGATGAGTTGGTCCATGGATACATACTTGTCTATTCAGCAAAACGAAAGTCTTCCATGGCTATGCTGCGCGCATTCTTGGCTGAAGTCCAAGATGTCATTCCAGTCCAAATGGTGGCCATCACAGATAGCCAGGCTGATTTCTTTGAGAATGAAGCAATCAAGGAGCTGATGACTGAGGGGGAGCACATTGCCACAGAAATCACAGCTAAATTTACAGCACTGTACTCCTTGTCGCAGTACCATAGGCAGACGGAAGTGTTCACACCATTTTTCAATGAGGTGCTTGAGAAGAAGAACGGTATAGAAAGCTCCTTTATGTTTGACAACACGCGGGATGGACCGGGCACCACTGAAGATGTCTTCCCCCAGTCACCTCACAGTCACTCACCAGCCTACACATACTATCCTGACTCTGAGGACGATGCAGAGGGACCGCCACCTTATAGTCCTATAGGGGATGATGTGCAACTGCTGCCCACCCCTAGTGAACGGAAGTATAGAATCGACCTGGAAGGGAACGAGTACCCTGTCCACAGTACGCCAGTGGGTGAACATGAACGCAACCACAAAGTGCCTCCTCCTGTGAGACCTAAGCCTGTGCTAACCAAGCCTAACGTAAAGAAGCTAGACCCCAACCTTTTGAAGACCATCGAGGCTGGAATGAGGAGCACCAGGAGAACACGAGGTCCAATGATGGTCCACGGTGAGGATCTTGAAGCGTCTGATAATTATGCGGAGCCTGCAGACACTCTGCTCAAATCTAAAGGCTTTAGCGATGACATTTACGTTGTCCCAGAGGACACCCATAGCAGAATAGTGAAGATGCGCAACTCTTTTGGTGGGCTTCATGGGCTTCATGGCGATGAGGAGAATGGTTTTGACCGCATGTCAAAGTCTCAGGGTGGCCGAAGGCCCTCTAAATACAAACATCGTTCGAAGATCCTTTTTAGCAAGACAAAAGCGTACCATAGACGAGTTCACTCAGATGTCAGTGATGATGAATCAGGGCCTGCAGTGCAGAAGAAGAAAAAAGGAAGGGGTAACCGGGGCAGTGAAGAAGACCCTCTACTCTCACCTGTCGATCCTTGGAAGGGGGGGATAGACAATCCAGCCATCACCTCAGACCCAGAGCAGGATGACAAGAAGCCGAAGAAAAAGAAAGCACCGAAAAATAAGGAACCCAAAAAGGTGCGCTAACATCTTTATCTTTACACCTCAGTTTATGTTTATGGAAAGGTCTAATTTTAGCAGTGTTCTGAATGCGACTATACCACACTCTCCTGTAGGAAATTATAAGCTATGTTGAACTTAACCTGCTGTTGCTTTGTTCATGGTTTTAGTATCAACAAAACTGAATATTTTATATGAAACTTTATTGTTGTACAGGTAAAAGTAAAGACTACAAAGCCTTTGTATCCACCAACTCGGAGAAACTGGGAAAGCAACTACTTTGGGATGCCTCTGCAAAGTGTGGTCACTCCTGATAGACCTATTCCATTGTTTATTGAGAAATGTGTGGACTACATTGAACGCACAGGTCAGTTTCATGGTTCTGATTAATATTTTAGTAGTAAATCTTGAAGTGTTTACAGTTGAAAAGCCAGCCATTCATTTCGTAAGCAAATAAATTAGCCTTTTCACTTCCTTTGCCTGTTACGTTTGGATTCCATGTCCTGGACATAGATTAAACCTAGTCTTGGACTAAATTGCATCATCAGAGGTGATTTACCATTGAAAATTCTCTATTTAGTCTAGGTTTGCTTATTGTCAACTATAGGGATGTGCAGTTGTCAGGGTAGTTAACTTGTACATGCCGGTTACTGTTGGAAGAAGTTACATTTTGGAATGAACCAGTAGTCAGTTAATTATGTTATCAGTGCATGATATTAAGGGGTTGGTGGATATTTCATCCATTTGTGAGATGCTCTGTGCTCTTGTAGTGACAGGATTGGATCTGCATCAAAGTCATGTTGAGTGTTGTCGGTATAAACGTTAACAGCTAAATCTATATTGAAGTGCAGGTTTCTAGGAAAGTTCGTTTTTTCTTTAGGTGATTTTTCTGTCATTAAGGAGAAACAGCTTCTCAGAGATAATATATTTTTGTGGTTTGTAAAAGTGTGAGATGTGCACTGTGCTGTGATAATGCAAAGTTTTGTGAGGGCCAATCAAATATTGGTTTCAGAACATTTAATATGATCAAACTGATAAGATCTTGGTCTGTGAAATGTTGCTATATTTTATAAATCTGCCTAAAACTGGCATAGCGTTTTTGAGACTAGACTAGTTACATTCACTGCTTTATTATCTTTATCTTAAAGACTGTGAGAAATAAGGATAGATGGCTTTGGAAAGCTTTGTGTTTTTGAGCCTGTTAAAATGTGTGCTTTCTTATATAGTCAATCTACTCAGTTTGGAAACTGCGTTTATTTTAAGGTTAGTGTATGCAAATGTTAGAGATGGAAAGCCTTTCATGTTTACAACATAACAATAAATAAAATCAATCATGTAAGTAAAGAGAAATATTAAATAAGGCATTTTAGCAATATTTCCTTTTCTGCTCGACTGTGATTGGCAAAATACAGATTTTAACAAGTGGACTCTGCTTCAAATTTTAACAAATAGACTCATGCAACATTTCAGTGGATTTTGACAGCTGCAGTTTGTTCGGTCACAGCAGTGTGTCCTTCAGTGGCCTATTCTGTAACTGGCTGAGTGTTCAATGGAAACTCTGACCAACATGCGCATCAATACAGCAGAGCTGACTAACGATGCAGGCCTAACTTTAAGCGATGTAATTTGAATGTGGCATCCGCAGACGCCACCATTCAGAGACTGTCCAGCTCTGAGGTCAAAGCAGATGTGCTGTTTAATGATGTGATTTTGAGGGAGATGATTAGGTTACTCTTTTTACTTGGCTAATATTTAAACATCAGTAATATTTTAGCTAGAAAATCACCCCAAGTTAGCATATTTGGGAAATGGTTTTACATGTGCGTGGGAGTCCAACTTCCTGACTGATTTTGTAAGGACGAGACAGCAGCTCTTTTATGCCGGTCTCACACCCCATGTGTGGTAGGTTAATGCGCACTGACAGTGATTGATGGTTTGAGTCACTTGGTTTTGAGAGCTGTTTGTTTCTGCTCAGGACACTTTTTTTTTTTTTAAAGGATTTTGCTTAGTTTTCATATAATGTAACTAGCTTAATTGTTTGCCTGGATTGCACTGCTGGCTGCTACCATCTTAATTATAAAATGCATTAATCTTTTGGTTTTGTAACTAACATAGACAGCATACTGGATCTTAAAGGGCCAATATTGTTGAAAACTAAATTTTTCCCACTTGTTTACATAAAAATTAGCTATAGTATATAAACACTGCTAAAGTTTCACAACATACAACTCTCTACGCAATCCATACAATCCATATATGTAAACTATGCTGCAAAACATCTTATTTTGAATTTACTGTTTCTGAGATGTCATTAAAATCAACACATTTACATATCTTCACCTATTTAGCCTACACCAGTTTAGCTTCCCCCATTCATGCTGAAGTTATAAGGAGTATTTTAGACTGGACTGCTTTTAGAATGAGGTACAATACAGGGCAGCCAGTCAGAACAGAAATTAATTACATAAATCAGTCTGTATGTTAAAGAAAGGTTGGAAAACGGTCTAAACCACTTAATGCTGTAAGTGGACTACAGAAGAAAAAAATAAATGCAAGAAAAATACAGGATATGGGCCCTTTAATACCAGTGTACTGTCTTCTGTACCATCCTGTCTGTCTCAGTGATGTAACAATAACATTTATTGTAGTTTAGTTAAAGATCATGTCCTTGGCTATATTAAGCACGTCATTATATTGTACCATTTCAAATTCTTGTTTTCTCAAAATCTTTGAAAGTGTAGTGACTTCTGTGCACCTCAAAAACATCACCAGGTTTTGATTACATCACTGCGCCAGCATGCAGAGGAAATAATATTAACCAATAATATTATGTTTTACCTAACCCTCCCCAACCCCACCTATCACGCTTAACTAGTTCAGAGACCCTCTCTGAAATATGTCACAGTACAGAAGGAAAATGTGCTGTTTTCCGAGTCACATTGACTTTAACATAGATGCAACAGAATTAACCATTTGACACATGACTTTCTTAACAATGCTTGTTTCATGTATTATACTCATTATGACTTGAATACTGTTAAAATTTGTAGCGTTTTCTATTTTGCACCCAGTCACAGAGCTACTAATACCTCATGGCATCTTTTTAATTTATTTATTTATTTTTTTAATTTAAGAATTTTGAGAATTTTCTCAGCACCAAATATTATGTGATACTGTTGAAAAGAAGTGGTGCTGTTGAAGACTTGTCTTTGCTTTGAGTGCATTTAGAACTCGTTAAGTTTACTGCAGTTGCAGTAGTGGCTCAATATGCCTGTGGCTGTATCCGAGCATTGTGGGTCTTTATTTAAAAGCCTTTTCAGTGCATCTTGCCTGAAAGAGTCCTGCAGATGAAAGAGGTCATCAAGCCCCCCCCTTCCCCAAACACACACACACATACTCATCCTCATTCTCTGCTACGCTTTAAAACCCAGAGGAAACGATTAGTCAAACTCAGCTAGTCCTTTACCAGTCTGAACATGCTGTATGCTTTGGCCGGCATCTCTTCTTCCATTTTGTGATCTAGAGTCTGTGACACTAGGAACTGTGTAGATTCAATGGATTTTTAGGGGTGCTTATTAATTGTCTTCAATGAATCACTTAGCACTTTCGCTGTCATTGTTCCCTAGCAGCAAGATGTCCTCCCTGAAATAGCTTAGCACTCGTATGTGACAGTGTTGCAACAATTAGTCAGCCGATAAAAATATATCTCTGAGAACTTTCACATTGTGCAAGTACACAATATATGCACTGGCCTTTTAGCCAGTATACTGGTTTTGAGTGGACAGCATGACTTTAATCTTTAGTTGGAATTATCTATGAAATGGCTACACTTTAGTGGCTGCCAGGTTTTGGAATTGCTAGCAGATCTACACAGGGAGATGAAACTTAATTCAAACAGACTTCTATATATCTGCATTTTTTTTGGAAACCAAGACTTGAATGATAGGGTTTTCATTTATATAGTACAAGTGCAGTCGTCTTTCAGCAGCAAATTTTTGTGGCTAATAAAGTACTAAAAAATCTATAGGCTGTGCAAATTTGTCATATTAAATGCCTACCAAGAAAGTATTTGTGTTGCTGATAAATTAACTGAACGTACCTGAAACATTGCAAATTGTATCAAACTGTAACTGAAGTTCTTTCTGATGGTGTTCATGTAAACTGTTACTGGAACTCTTCTGTAACATCACTGCTCGTCTGAAAAGGGAAAGAAAATGCACAGTGTGAATTCCATTCTAGAAAACATGCTGGACACGTATGTCTGTTAAATATAACACTTTTAACTTTAAAAAGTAAGACATGGTTACAAAGCTGTCTGTTACTGCCACTGTTTGTTTAAGTGCTAGCTAACACAAGTTTTTGTTTCAGCTAACGCAGAGCATTTTGTAGGTAGTGTCACTAGTTAGTCATACTTGATTTGCATCAAAAGTAGTTTAATACACTGACAATTTATTAGCAAATTCAATGTGTTTAACTTCCCAAATTTGAACAAATTCCATTATGTTATTTCAGCAATAATGATAAAAATGAATTAGATTGTCTGTATTTCAGTTTCTTAGTAACAATCCCTGATAAAGCCTTGTGTTTCAGTCTACTGTTGAGTGAGTAGCCTATTTTGCTGGCTATTAGCGAAAGCCATAATAAAATTCTCAGTTTCAATCCGTTATTCAGTGAGTAGCCTGTTGTTTCGAGTATGTAGATTCATAAAGGAATACTACAGGTCAGGGGTTGATAACCTGGGGGTCAGTCCCCCCTTGGGGGACATGATTCCAGGCAGGGTCAAAAGTGGTGCTGTAAAGATATACACCTTATGGAACACATCGAGAATAATTTTGACATGCTGCTGGGTAAAAAGCCATGTCCCTTGTGGAAGAAAACGCAAAAAATAAACTTGTTTCCAAACTTTAACCCGGCAAATTTGTAAACCTCAGAAGCGTCAACCAACAGAAATCAAAAAGGGTGAGCTGTGGTGTCTTTTTTCTAAAAAATACTAAACAGACAAATGTTCTTCAGTTAGTATATTGTCATTCATCACAAGTCCAGTGAGTACGGGCAGTGCTGATATGAGGTAGATTTGGAGGGAAGGTATTAGGGATGCATTGATACCGATACTGGTATCAGACGTTGGGCCGATACCATGCTCAATTACTCATATTCATGCTCGTAAAAATGCACCGATACCAACATTTCTGTACCCGCTGATAACATGTGGCGCAAGTCGAGTCTACGCTGCTGTGCTAATGAAAAAATGCAGTGAAGGACTCTGCTTACACAAAGAAGAGTTACTGACACCCTGATAGTCGGTCACAAAGTCGCTGGTCACTTTAAACATTGTGCCTTGGCTGATTCCCACCAGACCTACACTGT